TTCCTGATAACATCTCCAACTCATGGTTACACTGATACAGTTTGCGTATCTCAGGTAATTGATTCCACCTTCTAGAGTTGCTGAGTCACAAGACTGTAGTCTTTTTTGCTTTACCACATAACGGAAATAGACAAATCATTTCACCACCCCTACCCCATACTGCCTCCATGTGAGCTGAATGTAGGTCATCACAGATAGGGCTTTGATGCCAGATGCCACAGTTTTTTTTTAAAGATTTTATTTATTCATTTGATAGAGAGAGAGAGAGGGAAAGCGAGCACAAGCAGGGGGAGCAAGAGAGGGAGAGGGAGAAGCAGGCTCTCCACTGAGCTGGGAGCCTGATGTGGGGCTGGATCCCAGGACCTGGGATTGACCTGAGCCAAAGGCAGACACTTAACTGACTGAGCCACCCAGGCGCACCCAGATGCCACAATTTTAGGATACACTGCCTCCTGCTTTCTAGATTTAAACTTAGCCTCTCTAAAACATGCTCTCCACCCCTGCCCCCATTATTTTAATGAAAATTTGCCTTCAACACAATAGAGCATTTTGAGTATCTGAATAGGGGATATGAAATACCTTTAGAGACCTTAAGCCATGGAATCTTAACTCTTGCAGATGAGGAACACAGAGTCAAAGAAGTTTAACCAACTTGCTCAAGGTAGAGTTGGAATTTGACCGTAGGTTACTATAACCCCAAAGCCAGTAGCTCCTAAACTACCTGAATATCAGAATCACTTGGAAGATTATACACACAGACTCCTGGGCCCTACTTCTGGATAGTACCATGGATGGATCATGGATAGTCTCCCTCTACAATCTATTATCTGCTATTTGTAGCTTATTTTTATTTTCTAGGTGGACTTCAGCCAAGAAAGGAAACTAAACCAAAGTATTTTTTTTTTATTCAAGTGTAATTAACATACAGTGTCATATTAGTTTCAGGTATAAAATATGATGATTTAACAATTCTATACATGTTTCAGTGCTCATCCTGGTAAGTGTGCTCTTAGTTCCCTTTATCTCTTTCACCCGACCCCCGGCCACCTCCCCTCAGGCAACTACCAGTTTGTTCTCTTATATTTAAGAGTCTGGGGTTTTTTTGTTTGTTTATCTCTTTTTTTCTGTTTGTTCATTTGTTTTGTTTCTTGAATTCCACGTATGAGTGAAATCATGTTCTATTTGTCTTTATAAACTAAGGAAGATGCGAATGGTTTATAGCACCTTCTCTTGGCCTTCCTCTTCTCCTTTCTGAAGTTGACTGTTTTCTATCAGGCAAATGATATAAAAATAAAATCAGGGACTGGTATAGTGGTCACATCGCTGGGCTTGAAACTGCCTCTGGTGGATAGGTGGGGCGGAAGCCCTGGTTTATGGCACTAGCTGATTTCTATGGTATAAAGCCTCCCACCATGGCCAATTTCAAACTACTGAAGGTTTAACAACCTGCTCGCAACATTTCTGAATATTTAATAATTGGCCCAGAAGCCAGCTCCAACATATGAGCGGGTGTAGAATAATGGGGGAAAACTGAACAATTTCCCAACATTATCTAGATTGTCCATTATGTGATTCAAATTGGTTATAAACCTCCCAAATATCACTCTATCTGTTGGCCTCATGCTCTGACTTCCAAAGGCACCTCAGTGCCCCCAGTTCTCATCTCTCAGTCAATTTCCAAGGACATGCTGGGTCTGGAGCATAATGAAGCCATGGATGGGACTAGTGGATGGAGCATTTCGTGGAAGAGAAGTGAAGGCCATCTTTGGGATGACTACTCTTTCCCTCTTGCCTGCCATATAGCAGGGGTAGGACTATGGGAGAGCTGCCCTCTGCTTGAGAGAGGCTGCTGTCCTTCGTGGGCCTCGCAGGATCAGGGAGGAAATGAAATATGAAATAGGGTTATAGGAAGTTTGGCTCTCAACCTGAGAGGAATAAAAGTGGCTGATCTTTCTATGCTTCTACTCACCCTGGGAGAAAGACCAGAATGCCAGTTCAACACTAGCAAGATAACCCCAGCCTGCTTTTCATCCACGAGTTAAGCTAGAGGGGCTGGCTGGCTTCTCACGTGACCAGGCCTGGCAGAACACCACCCTAACTAGTCCAATGACAGAGACTGTTCCTCTGCCTGGAGTAGCCTTTGCACAGCTGACTCATCTTGGGAAAGTGAGTGGTGATGGCAATTTGACAAAAACTGGGCCCTGAGCATGCTAACATGACTAATACCACCTCACGTAAAAGTACCAATAACATATTCCAAAACCAAATGTAAACGATTCTAGGATCAGTTTCCATTTTAGATTATTTGTTCCTTTGGTAAATTTCCAGAAGTCAGGATAACTATTTCTTGGGGTGTCAACAACTACAACAAAGGTAAATAATCCTCCTTGAGCATCCTGGGTAGCCAACCACACCCATGCTCTATATAAGTGCAAACTTGTTTTGAATATTGACTCACTTTCATTCTGGTTGAATCCATTTGTACAATAATTCAATGCCCATATATCCTTTTCCCAACTAGAAAGACACTTCAAAAATTAAGAGTAACTCCCAAATAAATCAACCAGAGAGAGAAGTGATCACAGTAGGACTCAAAACTTTAGCATAAATTCTCTAGAATAGGCAGCACAGGTAGATTTCTAGAAGGCCTAGATTTAATTCACCAGCTATGAGATCTTGGTCCAGTCATTTAATCTAACAGCATTTTCCCATCTGTAAAATGAAGATCTTTATACTTAAATCTCATGGTAACATTTCCTACCATGTACTAAGCATATTTATCATGTTCTTTATCCTTAACCCTCAAAATCAGCATTCGAGAGTTCTTAATTTGGAGTTCAGATTCCCTAAGAGATCCAGAGGTGATATCAGAAATGAACATGCAAAGCCTACCATACATGCGTATGTGTGCATTTTTATCTGGGTTCTCAACCAGGGACACACGAGAATCTCAGCATCCAGGATGAAGATGGGTGAAAGAACAGAGGCACAGGTGTGTGCATTTTGGAAAAACTTTCCACTGTGATTCTGATGTTTGCTCCCCAGTCTAGCTTGTGAGATACCAATTTTGACAAAAAGACCAAGCCACCAGCTTAAAATATTGATTTTCATGTATATTCAAAGTAGAAATTATATTAAAGATGAATAAATACTGAATTACCTATTTTCCAGAGAAATGAAAGTGTATATCCACACAAAAACTTGCAAATAGCAACTTTATTTATTACAGTCCCAAGCTGCAAACAATCCAAAAGTCCACCAGTAGGTGAATGGACTAAAAGGGAACATAAATGGCAAAACATAGAGGACTTCCAAAAACACACTGCATGAAAGCAATGTAAAAGATGGTTCCATTTATATAAAATTCTTGCATACTATACTGACAGCAGATTAGTGATGGCCTTGGGATTGGGGGTGGAGGGAAGGACTGAACTGCAGAGGGAAATGAAACTTTTAGGATGATGGAACTATAATAATTTATCTCGGTTGTAGGGTGGTTTCATAGATGTATACATTCTTTCCCAACTCATTGAGCTGTAATTTTTTTTAATGATTGCAGTTTGTTTTTTGTTTTTAAGATGTTATTTATTTGACAGAGAGAGACACAGCTAGAGAGGGAACACAAGCAGAGGGAGTGGGAGAGGGAGAAGCAGGCTTCCTGCTGAGCAGGGAGCCTGACACAGGGCTCATTCCCAGGACCCTGGGACCATGACCTGAGCCGAAGGCAGACGTTTAACAACTGAGCCACCCAGGCGCCCCCGATTGCAGTTTGTTGTACATAAAAGTATGCCTTAATAAAATCAATTTAAAAATTAACAATGCCAGCTCCTAAACTCCAGCAAGTATCATGGCATATTTCTCATGTAACTATTTACCCACCAACTCAAATGCATGTCCTTTGAGCTGCTTTCAGTACAGAGTACTAATCTCTCAACACTCTTCTCTCCCCAGGGCCACTGAGTAGGGCTTTTACGAGGTAGTCAGCAGTATACTCAAAGCAAAATTGTCACCCAGAGACTGGGGATAATCTCAGCCTCGTAAGAACCATACCCTAATCCAACGAACATCCAATAGAGCAAGTTCACGTGGTGAGACTTATTGAACAGTTGTACCCATATTTTACAGTTTGTAGCTTAGGTAACATAGACTGTGTTTACACAATTCCCTGCAAGCTAGCTATAATTCCTTTCTTTACTGTAGATCGGTGGTCATGAAAACTATTGTAACCAACTAAACTAACCAACTTTTGAGGAAGAAGACAATACCTCTAAGCTTCTAGAGACACCGAAGAAAATAAGTTGCAAACTTATTTTACAGATAATATGCCTCAATACGTATGTGCATGAAAGCCAAATAATTTTGTGTTCTAAACTGCAATTACACACTAATTTCTAACTTTTATTCCCACCTTTAGGGCCTTAATAACTTCTATCAACAAACTATTTTAAAGTCAGTGAGATGTAAGCAAATATTTGTATGCCATTATTTATAACCTCATAAGATCTTTAATAAATTATGAATCAATGATTTGCAAAAGCACTTTTGACAAAATTAAGCACTTTAAAACAGACTTTTCATTTGTTCTCTAACCAACAGGCATGAATATTTTGTATATTTTATCTTCAGTACCTTCTGTGTATTCTTGTAAACATCACATGTAACATTTATGAAATTCACATTTTTCAGAAAATTAGATTTATGATTTGCAAGATGAAGTAAAGAGTAAGAAAACAGAACGTGTCCTATGAGTAAAGAATAGTCAAAAAGTATGTGTTAAACTTTTGAAAATAAGTCTGCCTTGGAAATGCTGTATTTTTCCTATATTCATACAAAATTATTGTGGACTCAAGTTTTGTTGCATCTGGACAGCTGCAAAAGAAGTAGAACATTTCGTTAACCTGTTATGAGTAAAATGTTTCTAAAAGATAATTATTTATTCCATGTAGTAACTTTCTGGAGAAGCCAAAAACTTGAAACACTTCAAACAAACAGAACTGAAATACTTGATCAATTTTTATTTCAAAATGTCTACAAAGTTTTAACTCTCCATTATACAAATAATTTTTCAAAATTGAGACATTATTCAAATGTAAGCCAAAGTCCTTATACAAATACACACAAAGATCAAAAATATACGTATTCTCTCAGCAAACTTTGTTACATAAATAAGAAAAATATATACAGCTCGTATTTTCAATTTAAAGTACAATTGTTTTAACACTGCAACCACATACAGAAGGTACTAAAATAAAAAGAAATGCTACAGCAAAAGTTACAGGAACAACAAATTCATCTTATGACATCTACAAATCATAAAGATACATATAACCAATCTTCAAGGAATATATACGTCACACTTGGATCTTAATTTTTACTTCACTTTGTTCATTTTTTAGAATATTCTGTGGATAGGTAAAATTCACAATTCTACCAGCTATCCTTGATACAAAACTTACAACATGTGAAGAAATCTATGTCTCTGTACTTTGGGATAGGTGTCAAAAGAATTCTTTAAGTTGAATTTGTATGAACCTGTGTTAAAATTTTCCAAGTAAACTGAAATGGCTATTGAAAAGTCAACCAATTCTTTTTAAGTAGGAAATGTTGGGGAAAAAAATCCAAACACTTGAAAAATCTCAACACAGTAAAGCAATAAAGAAAAATTATGCCAATGGTGCCCTAGATTGTTAAGCAACTCAACTAGATAGATATTTAATTATGTTTTGCCCCAGAAATTCTCCTTCCTTTTCTGAGCTCGTGCCAGAGTTTGAAAAGCCCGGAGACTAGAAGCTGCAGAGCGAGCAGAGATCTCAGATAATCTGTCCTCATCTGCAATGAAAAAATTATAATCAGTGTAGAAAATACCTCTAATAAAAATACTATGTTTTATAACATTAACAAAATTAAAAGCATCAAGCTTTGTAATGTCAATATTGACTCTGTCAGAAAAAATTATTAAAATATAAGATATTAACATTTTCAGCATAGTTCACTATAATTTCCCAAGTTTACCATACTTAGAAATCAAACACTTTAATGCTAAATGAGCATTCTGTTTCCTGCCTGAAATCCCACAATGTCATTACCTAAAACACATGGCCTGTGATTTCAGTATTACTTGGAAACAATTCATCATCATACTGTCTTGTCCTACTTTAAAAAGCACAGCTATTCTCAGCAAAAAGCTTTTATAAGCATTTTAAAAACAAAATGCTATACCTTAACATAGTGCTTACATCACGTTTCCAAAATAATATCACTTAATGTAGAAATAATGTTTGACTTTAACATGCTACCCTTCATTATTACAGAAATTCCTCATTCTCAGTAAGCAAATCTATTATACGGTTATTTTGTAAACACTGTTCTTCCATTAAAAAAACACAACTGATGTCAAATGAATAAATAAAATCTTAAAAAAAAAAAAAACACAACTGGATTCAAAGTGTCCAGATGTTTGCATTTTAAAACATAATAACTTTATTTCTAGCTCACTGAATTCTGAAAAAAGTCCCAAGTTTGCTAAGAGAAAATCTTCAATGTATATGAACTTATAATACATAAAGTATTAATTCAAAGTTACTTTCATATCCAAAATTTATAAATTCAGTAATTTCATACATTTTAGGATGAATTAAATAATAATTTTGATTGTTCACATCAGGAATTCAAAATTCCTCCTGCCACTATTAGAAGCAAATGAATTTGTCAGAATGCTACACAAGAAAAAAGTCCATTTCCCTAATCATATTTTTTTGAGAACTGAAAATTGACAATATACAGATATTTGAAAAAAATAACAGATATGCTAGACCAAATTCCTAAGCCTCCAGCTAGCCAGGATGGAAAAACAGAAAGAGTACCGATCTCAGGCGCGATGCTAGGCATAATCTCTCTTATCATCTGTTTGCCCTAAAAAAATTCTTCAAGATTTTAGGTCCCAGTTTACTCATTTGTAAATGGGGATAATTTTACCCCCCCTCACAGGATTTCCAGATCTAATGAAATAATATCTGTGGAAGTGCTCTGTAAACTATAAAATGCTAATCCAATGTTAAGATCATAATACTACTATAAACTACCATATAATAAAACCTCATAACTTTGGTCATATGTTATTTTACTACTGAAATACCTTCATCATTAAAGACTTCATGCTGAGGCAACTGGAAATTGTTCATCTTTGCTTTTCCCACTTAAAAAAAAAAAAAGGCAAAAAAATTATCCTTCGAAGCCACCTAACAGTATATCTTATTTACAGGAAAACCTTAGTGAAAGTAGACTGTCAAAAATTTTATTAATTTTATACTTTAATAGAAATTATTATTAACAGACCATTCACTAATTTATAATGTGCTTAGCAAATATGTAAACAAACAATAGAAAATTTCTAGAATTCTTTGCAGTGACAATATTGATCTATACTAAGTTGAAAGAAAGGCAGTAGGCTTCTGTTTTTATTTTTATCTTTTTTTAAAGATTTTATTTATTTATTTGACACAGAGAGAGTGAGAGAGAGAGAGCATAAGCAGGGGGAGTGGCAGGCAGG